CCGGGGCGGGGCCGGCCCGAGGGGAGGTGGCGCTGCGCAGAGCCCGGCTCCGGCGCAGAGGGCGGCAGGCCGGAGTCCGCAGCGCCATGCCCGGCCCGGGGGTGCCGGCGGACGCGGAGGAGACTTACGACTTCCTCTTCAAGCTGGTGCTGATCGGCGACGCCAGCGTGGGCAAGACATGCCTGGTGCAGCGCTTCAAGACCGGGGCCTTCGCCGAGCGCCAGGGCAGCACCATCGGCGTGGACTTCACCATGAAGAGCCTCGACATCCAGGGCAAGCGCGTCAAGGTGAGGCCGGGCGGGCGAGCTCAGTCCGAGCCCTGCGGTCGCTCGGCTCGGCTCGGCCGCCCTTTGTTCCCCCCTGATCTGGGAGGTTCCCCGGGGCACTCGGCCCCTCGGTGACCGCCCGCGCGGCGCCAGCCCCGCTGGGCCCACATCTCGGCCGGGCCGGGCCGGGCCGGGCAGCAGCGGCAGGGAGCGCGGGGTGCACCGTCTGCACTTCCTGTAGCCGCCGCCTCAGCCTCCAGACACCCCTCGAGAGACTCGAAGCAGCCTCAGAAAACGCTGCCTCTTCTTTTTTCTTGACTGCCAAAAAAAATGGAGCAGTTTTTTTCTGTTGCCAAGAGCTTGGACAGCCCTGGCAGCTCCCAGCACTGCCGAGGCCTTCTTTAGCAACTGTAGGTTTAACTTGTCCATCACATTTGCGCACCTGATGGTGCCAACAATGCAACGCGGCACCCCTGAAAGGATCTCATGGCCACAGAGATGCTTGCACTATAAGATGTATTTAGCTCCAGCACGCTGGTGGGGTGCAGCCCCCTTTGCTCACCGTGCCTCCCAAGCTGTGCAGTTCAGCCACAGTCTACAAAAGGAGCCCAGCTTCATAAAGCTTCTTGGGATGAAAGGGGCTATATAAATGTCATGGTTAAGGTTCTGCTATTTTATAGCAACATGACTGAATGCATGCATGGAAGTTTATGGAGAGATTGACACATGAATTGTGCCCTAAAGGGCCCCTGCAGGTGTATTTTGGTTTGTTTTGCAGCTATGTGCCAACAAAGGGATCATAAAACATAGTGTTGGAAGAGGCTGTCCAGACTGAGTCCAGTCCCGCGTGTCCACAGGCAACCAGTTTTTCAAAGGGGTGACAGGCAAGCATACTTCTGTCTGTCACTCATACCACTGTCCCAAAGCACCTATAAAAACGTAATGTGACAGGTAAAGAGCCCCACCAATGTTTTGCCATTGTGATGTCAGAAAATTAAGTTAAAATGTGCTTAGATGATCCTAAGAAGAGAATCATGCCTCGTAGCAAGGGAAGGCAAAAAAAGCAAGCCCTCAGTCTGTTTCCCCCACTCTTGTTTTCTGACCCTGAGTCGTCCCATGAGCTCTTCTTCCTCCCGAGTTAATGTTGGTGAGCACAATGGGCAACAACCCCTGGAAACAATAGTAAAAACATAGAAAGTCAGTCAGTCATTGGGACTAGGGAATTGGGAGCTCAGAGTCAGGGAATGTTTTGTGTCTTACAAGACATTCTTTGCAGGTATTTTAATCCATTTCCCAGTTTTGTGAACTGCTGGTATTAGCAGTTAAAGCAAAAAGCATCAGTTTCCTTCTTCATCTACATTAAGTTCCTTTGCTTTTCACCTAGTTAAGCTCAAAACTTTGCTCAATTTATATGCCAGGCGCACACAGTGTGACAAATGTGTCTGGTCCTTGTGCCAGGGGTCGCTGCTAGGACTCGAGGAATGAGGTAACTTCAGCTCAAGGACTTAACCAGACTTCTTAGAGACTCCCTCTCATATTGCCTATCTTTCTACCATACCTATTTCAGAACTTCTAGGCATTATTGCTGGAAAAATAATCTACACTTGCATCTAGTCTACCATTAGCTCCAGAAAGTAGGCATGCCTCTTAACTGTTTGAGTTAGACATGGAGCCAGAGATCAGAACAGAACATGCCCAGAATACAAGTGTTTGGAACTGAGGGGTTTTATTTTTCTTTCATTTTTTTTGGTCTGTTAGGATATGTGCAAAATTCAGAATCAGATCTAAATCCAGAGTTTCCCAGACATGGTCAGGCCTATCTAATCTAAATAGGCTTGTTACTTAAGCCTATTTACAGGAAGTGAAGAATATGAAAGCGTTTATTTTAGTTGTGGTTAAATTGTAGTTAAATGTGACACAAACAGTCAAGCTGGTAGGCCTCATATACTTTCAAAAACATGATTTCAGTGCAAAAAAAAAATTCCAGCAAGCAGTTTGATGATTTCTTTCTCTAGCTATATAAGCATATCACCTTACAACCCATAAACAAACAGGCCAGTACATGCAGTAGGACAGAGATGCCACATATTAATACTCATTTTACACATCATACAAGACTTACCTGTTGCGACCTGAGTGAGCTTTTTGCAAAAAAAAAAAAAAAAGAAAAGTTAATTATAAGGCTATGTACAGAATGTGTGACAACAAGAAACATTTAATATGTTTGTTTAAAATAAAGGGTTTTTTGGCTGTTCATATGCTTACAAAATGATACCAGGTAACTCTTGCTGCTTCAGCTTCTGGATTTCTGCTGCTAAATGGAGCCTCTCCATCAGGCTTTGGGAAGTAGTTTAGGTATAAGAGGCAGTTAGTGTTTAGAAGGCCTTTCATAATTACAGCATATACTAAAAATTCCCACAGTTTACCTAACCCCCTGTGGTCTGGCTTAATTGCCCATCTGGCTAGGTGACCCTGCAAATATAGTAGAGCATGAATCAGCCAGTGTGGTTTTTGGCCAGGCATTGAAACAAACAATAGATGTTAAGGTTGTTTGTTAAGCGAGCAGTGGTGCTTGCTGTCTAGGACATTGCCTATCTTGGTAAATGTTCCAATATGTAGTGTTTCCAATAGTAGTTGGAGGACAGCCTTTTTAAAAACACAGCTGTTGCACCTTTGTTGGGCAAGAGAGAAAGGACCATATTGCAAAGTCATCCTCAACCTTCCTGTAGAATTTTAAATGTGGCTTTTTCTATTCTTGAGTGCATGTGTCCCTTTAAGTGTCTTGAATGATATTTCAAGTACTTTCTACTTCATCTGTGCCAAAGTTTAGTCAGATTTGGGCTTAGAGCTTGAGAAAGGGGTTCACAAAGTGTCCTATAAATAGAAGTTAAAGCACTGATGGAGCAATACAAACTGCCCCACTATGCCACAAGCCTGACCTGTGTGGGGGCATAACCTCTAGAGAATTAAATAGTAAACACTCTTTGCGCAGTCAGTCCTTTGTGTCTTTGCTTGATCAGTCAGTCAGATTGCCAATTGTGCTGGGGTTTTTTGAGATGTGGGCCTCTGTGTGCTGGGAATTGCACTAGCCAGCAGTGTGTGTAGCGGGCTCCCTGGAGCCTTGAGGCCCTGACTCTGGGGCAATCTGTGTGGCATGGAGCCAAGCAGACAAGCAAAGAGCAGGACAGTGGGTCCTATTGGTACTTCACAATCAAATAGTCTCTGACAGACACTTCTGTTCTGGCAAATCAGCAAATTCTGATGAAAAATATCTTTTTCTGAATGTTTCCTTGCATCTCCATTATAAAGCGAAGAGCCAGAAGCCCTACCTTCAGCAACTAGTGTCAGAGGGTTCTGTTCAGCTTGGCTGAAAGTTTTAACGCATAAGATGTAGCTATATTCCTTCAGCCAGGATAATAATCTTGAGGACAGAGGGTGGGGCTTTCAAGAAGTACTCAATGTTGACCTAACTGTTCCTTGTTCAAGGCAGTGATTATATTCCTAGCAATAAAATAGTTTGGCAAAGATAAAATATTTTAGAACCCTTATTTTACCCTAAGAAAAGGATCATTTTAAAACCAGAGAAGTACAATTTTATATAATAATAGGCAAGGATGTTACTAAGGATAAATCCACAGATCATTGTTAGCGTAATAACAAAATTCCCTTTATTTCTGTTCATTTGCCACTTTACAAGTAAAAATTGTCTTAGGTCACTTTTCAGCAACTTATTTTAGCAGGAAATTAACAATAATATGGATTAAATGTAACATTAATCTTTAAGAGTAATTATCATACTGGACATTT